ACACGGAACGAGTTGCCATCTTTTACAAAGGCGACGCGCTCAGCCCCCTAGTTTTTATTCAGGTGGCCATACCAGACGACGCCGGCAGTCAGGCATTATGAGAAGCACAAAACTTTTCCAGGGCAATTAGCACTTAGTAAAGTCAGGGAAGAAGCTGCAGCAGTGTTTTACTGATTTCAAAAGTGAAGTACAAGAAAATAATAAAAGGAGGAGACACGAAAGTGGCTGCGAACAAGAAGGCGGTGGGGCAATTCAACCACGTTCGTCACAGGGATGCCTCCGCATGGTAGTGCCACGGTATGTGCTTGTGCTCAATACACCTGGACGAGCGTGAACAAAGGTTACAATTCTTACTTCGTGTGTGAGCAACGCACTCCTTGGTAAATGCGGCCATGACAGCGAGCGAAATGACGTTTGTGCTCTCTTTAACTACTGCAACTTCCAAGCAAACTTGCGGTGGATGCACAAGAGGTACATAGCTCCCAAATCCTGAGATAAGTGTGTGCACGAATGAGCTACCACGCTAGATAACATCTATGCGCACTTTGACTAGCCATGTAGAGGCACGCAAGCAAGATCACGTGAGGGGTTCGTGACAGAACGACCTTTAGAGGGCATGCACACAATGCGCACTCGTGCCATCTTGCTACCAATGATGAAAACAAATGCCGAGCTCTGTGAACCGCCAGCGATGCATGGAGTACATTTGAGTACATAAATGGCTTGCCATTAGCATGTTGAAGAAGGGTCGCTCGGTGGCTTAGTGGTTAGCGTCATGCGTTGAGGAGCAAGAGATCGTAGTTTCGAAGCACTGCTACGAAGTTTTTCGTTTTTTTCACTGCATTTGTTAGTAAATATCTTACGTCATATCCATGACGAAAATACATTACGGAGTCATGGTGGACCCCGGCATAAAACATTTTCGTGTTAAAAACTCTGCAAGTGCCACTTGCCAATGCGTTGAGCTTTTCTTTCCAGCGGAACAGCACACATCCATCAAAATTCTGAAACTGTGCTTGTGGTGGCAACAATATACTTAGTGCCAAAAGCACGAGCCCGAAAAGACACTAACACAGCATGTGTACACTTTCAAAAACAGTGGTGGTGAGTGCCCTTTTAGTCTATGTATTGTTTTAGTAGTGTTTTGGATGCCAAGTCTACTACTGACGCTGAAGATTGTAGCAATTAAGCTCAATGCAAGCGTTGGTGAAATTTTCATATTCGCTCTTCATAAAATGTTTCCTAAACAATGCCCTAGAACTAGAGCTTTCGCTATAATGTCATTATGTGAGCTTCTCGGAAGAGACAAGAATATGCAAATAAGGCAACTGTCCGGAACTCGCATGACACCTGACAACCTGATGAAAATTGCAATTAAGCGGATCAGAAGCAGACTGGCTGGCTTGCTGGCTTCATGCACAGGCGAGGCAAGCAGACGGGAATACTGTCATTTTTGGCTGACGAATTTTAATGATGTTTTATGCCTTCAAGAACTGCTTCTTGGAGCCTGCCGCCTTGGTGACTTTGAGCACGTTGAAGCGCACAGTCTTGGAGAGGGGACGGCACTCGCCTACCGTGACCACGTCGCCCACGGCCACGTCCCGAAAGGCTGGCGACAAGTGCACGGACATGTTGCGGTGCCTCTTCTCAAAACGGTTGTACTTGCGCACGTAGTGCAGGTAGTCCCGCCGGATGACGATGGTGCGCTGCATCTTCATCTTCACAACCACGCCGCGAAGAATGCGACCCCGGATGCTCACGTTACCTGTACAGTGAGGAGTGAGAAATGCTGAGTTTGGCACTCTCAGAAATAAGGGCATGCACCTCTTTATCAACGCTTAATGTAACACCCCTCCAAACATGCTTGGACTGAAACAACAAAGCTAAGCAACAGAAAAGTGAATCAGTAATATTATGTGCTTGCATGCTACAGCACCACAATAACTGACAGTTTTACACCAGAATAACACGATATGATCCCAAAGGTCGCTGAGGTGGAAGGCTCCAGAAATTTTGATTACCAGAGTTCTTTAAAGGGGCCCTGCAACTCTTTCAAATAGCCATCGAATAAATTCTCTAAAGGAGCTTATTGCCTCACAAATCTGCCACTGCAAAATTTTTCGTATCCATTCAGTACGAGCATAGTTACAAAGAGTTGCTGCACGCTGCATTTGCTTTCTCTCTTCTCTCGTCCCAACAAAAGCGCTGGAAGCCAAGCAGGGAAAGATGGTACGGAGAAAGCAAATACGTCACATGCGCCTCGTGACCTTGAGCACTTTTTCTTTCTTTGAATACACAGCTTTTTCAGTCCGATTGCGTGCGCACGCATGGACAAGTCACCTTGACAAAACCGCAAGTACAACACTTATAACAAAACCAAAAAACACAGCTTCAGCCATGCTTTCAGGCACAGGGCTTGATGGCTGCTGCACCTGGAGGCGAAATTCGGGTGCTGCAGCATAGTACGGCGCCGATAAACGAGTTTTGCACAACAAAGTTGGTTCGGCACACGCAAGAAAGCTTGGTGCACAATGGTGCAGCTATTCAAACCCTGCATCGGGGCAAATGACATGCACTCCACTAGATCTAGCCACTATGAATTTAGCTCCTTGCGAACTGTCAAAATGAGGTGAGACAAAAGCAAAAGACATGCTAGCTGATTTGTAGCGCATAAATTAAAAGCAGCATGACAGCTTTGTCCTACTTATTTGCTGTAGTGTCCAACCAGGAAGCGGGTCTCAAGATGGTGTTAGGCAAGTGATTGTTGTCACATCCTGAAGGCCACATGCTCCACTACATTTACTGGTTCGTGCGAGGGTGCTAAAGTGCAAATGCAATAAGGATCTCAACTGACCAAGCCACGAATCAAATGCTTTTGCAAATGCGAATTAAATGCGTTTTCAAATAAAAAATACAGTAATCGTCATTGTCCTCTGGCTTTCACATGTTCACATTTGCTTTGCTCTGAAGTACACAGGCTCACACGAGTCAGCAGCTTTCTCAAACCAAGACTCTGTTTTAGCCCGTTCCATAGCCTGGTTGTGTAGCTGCAGAGTTTAGTATTACTTAGTAAAAGCCTCTCAAACTGACAAATAAAATTTAACTATTCCTAACATGCACGATAACTGCTCCCATTTGCAAGCTGCCATCACTATCTTCCCCTGTCGACAGCCTTGAGTTCAGATTACACTAACAGCTCACAGGCGTCACATCTAAATCTTTGTCAAACTTACGGTAACACTAATCCCCCCCCCCCTTTTTTTTTCTCAGCATTGGCACACCACAAGTCAGTTCGCCAAAGCCCAGAAACTGCAATGCACGCAACGATGTATTTTAGAAACCAAGCATCTTTCTAAACAGCCATCGACGTGCATCTTATTGCACCAAACAACCTGCTGTCACAAAGATCAGCATGGAAGAGTTCAAGTAACTACTGAGTAGCGGGAAGTTTTGACATGGCTACCTCCCAGACACGGTAGCAGTGAAGGCTCGGAACAGTCACACACTATAAAAAGTAGCAACTACCTTTTCAGGCAAAGCCCTGCTTGGTCTAACCAACCATGAATGTCAGGTAGCTTTATAATAATCACACTGGCGTCAGGGGCCCGTTGGAATCGCACCTGGCTCTGGCAAAGCCAGGGAGAACGACGAAGCGGCACGGCACAGGTACCGACTTCCCAGTGACACAATCCAACTATTGACAGTGACAAATGTGCGATACTTGCAGGGACACTAAAGAGAAACAATGAGTTCTTTTAGATTGATAAAACTCTACTGTCATAGGTTCATTATTAGATGTCGAAGTTTCATTTTAAATTTCACGCCGTAATCGCCGCAGGTGAAGAAACCCCAAAGTGTATTTTTCGTTATTTCGCGACATTGGCTCGATGACCTTTTCTGAGACTTCTATGAAATGAACAGATTACACTGCACTTCAATCCAAGTAGGACCCAATAGACGCTATCAAAAATTGATGACGTCACAGTGTTTGATATCGGATTCTCAAGGTGGCATCTTCATCCGCAGTTTCTTTAAGCGTGTTTTCTCGCTTACAGAATGTGTCACGGTAAGAACGGTGTTTTCGGTATAGTGAAATCGTACTTTGAATATACGCGAAAAAGCGTTCTGCTCTTAAGTGTTTCTTTAAGCAATGTCAATCCGTACCCAGCCACTTCCGTCAATTTCGACATACTAAACAAACTGGCGCCAAACAACCTAAACGATCGCTCAACACATCGGAATGGAGGGCGCACCTGTGAAGGGGCACTTCTTGTCGATGTAGGTGCCGTGGATGGCCTCGCGCGGCGTCTTGAAGCCCAGGCCGACGCTCTTGTAGTACCGCAGCACGCGCTTGGGGTTCCCCTTGGGCAGGCCCGCCTTGCGGTTGAGGAACACCGTCGGCTGTTTCTGGAAGGCTCGCTCTACTTGCTCGGCCATGGTGCCTGCACGGACAGAACGACACGTCTGGACAGGCGATCGTGACGCGAGGCCTAACCGCTCGCCGGGACCGCCAACATGTGGCGTTTGCCGAGTAGCTAAGCGGATTGACAAGGTCAGTTCGCTCGGTGGGTTGGTTCAATGGCGCTCTTACAGTAGATTAAGGAGGAAGAAACGACGAAAAGCTTACTAAACTAGCCTACAATCGACGACACACGTGGTAGCTTACCTAGCAGCTCAGACGAAGACCGGAGAAAGGAAGGATTGTCCCGGATCGGCTACAGTACATTCTGAAACAAATCCACAAAGCCAACTACTAAGTTGTTCTAATTACAAAATAAACAAATACGTTAAAAAACAAACACGCTGCAAAGTTTTTGTCGGTTGAAGCGCTAATTGAGCTTTACAGTTGCGGTTCTTTAGTTCACAAATTCTCTAAAGCAAGTGCTACACTTCTGACGTAAATGACTGCCTTGTTTAAAAAGTTGTATCAAGTCTACTCAAGCCGAGCCAAGTTGAGGTTATGGTGAGGTGTAAAATATATTATCTCAGGCGCCGTAAATCACACCGAAGTCGTCCGCGCATCTCTCGGCGCGCTGTGCCGGAGTTGGTTTCCGATTTTCGGGTGGTGGTCGGCGGCTCACCGCGTGCGGGTTGGTGATTTGACGACGCCGCGGTGCCTTTCGTCCAGGCACCGCTAACTGTGCGGCGCCATGGGCAACACCGACTCCAAGCTCAACTTTAGGAAGGCCGTGATACAACTGACGACGAAGACGCAGGTGCGTGGAAGTCGGCATATGCTGCGGCACGGCGCGCGAAGACGCGGCCATATCGCGCGGCCGTCGCCGATTTTGATCGTCGTTAGCCGTTCCATTATTCATCGGTTGTACGAGCCAGCTGCACCGTCTCTTTTGACTCAAAGCAGGTGCTTCCGAAAAACAATCGGATCCAGCCGCGCGCGACAGATCGTGACGGCATCCGAAAGTAAGGGGGCGCGCCTTTGACCCACTGCTCGCGTAATTTGTTAGATCGCTCGCTGGCTCTCGCCCGTTTTCGCGACTTCATGGTCTTGCTTTCGCCGGGGTTTTTGTCTATGAATGGTAGCACAGCGGGCTCGTCAAGAATCGCGTGCGCACTCGGACAGGAGATAGCAGTACGTTCGCGCTCGGCCTTTGAAAGAAAAAAAAATCGATCCCTGTAGCGAAGCGTAGGACTGCTTTGTGGTATGCGTATTGTCGACGGTTTGTGATTGTCCGGACGATGCAGTAGTATGCGTGGTTTGTGTAGTGCGCTTGGGATGTGACTAATACATAAACAATTAACCGACTGCAGCATGCGTACGTAGACCTCCGGCAGAGTTCGAAATGGTATTGCAGAAAATTCCACGTTGTAGTTAGTATTGACGATCATTAACTAAGCAAGCCGCACACGGCGCTCACACTTTGTGCATATCTCTGTATATCTACGTACAGCACGGGCGCACATGCGTGTACACATACGTATATGGAAGGCTCTTTACATCGTGGTATTTTGATCTCAAATATATAAAACCAACTCAGTCGCTAGAAATTTAGGCGTACGTTAATTTCGAAAAGTGTGCGTCATAGCCGTGTGTCAGTATTTGAGTGTGCTTTGGTATTAGGCTGGCCAAATGAATGGACTAGTGGAACTTATATGATATCTGGATTCCGAAATTGTCAGCATCATTCATTCATTTATGCTTCAGAGAGAGGCGTTACTTGAAAACTCCTCAATAAATGAAAAAGTTGATTTCGCTAATTAGGAGTTTTACTGGTAATGTCACACCTGGAAATGTGTCCAAAGGCTTGTGAATTAGAGGTATGTAGTCATAATCATTTTCATGTTTCCAAGAACTGGAAACGAAAATTGCATTGGGCTTAAATAGTTTTTTTTGTTTTTTTATGTCGTTTAAATTACTTTTCTAAGAGTTTCACAGTGAGAGCTGGATAATTGTTTTTGTATTCTTAATTCTTTTTGCGAAAAACATAGGCGACAGTTGTAAATACCGAAAGATCACTGATGACGTTCGAGGTTTTAAACCTTCTGAGCATTCAATCATCAAACTTCAGAAACATATATTGTTGTACAGAGACACAATGCACTCTCTTCAAAGCAAAATGACAGAGTTGTAAAGATTTACAAACTTCTTACATTGGAGCTCCTTGGCAGTGTGGCAGCTTGGGCTAGTTGGTATGACACGACGATAGTTAGAGCATGAGAACAGAATGACGACAAAGAGACAAGAAGGACACGAACTCGCTCGTGTCCTTTTTGTGTCTTTGTCGTCGTTCTGTTCTCGCGCTATCTATCGTCATGGAGCTCCTTGCTTAGATCTTTGTTTTAGGGAACCCAAGACTGAATTTAAAAGTTAATTTCCAGGGTCTTACATGTCAAAACCATGCTAGAGGTCTGTGTACATAGATTTAGATGCACGTTAACGAACCCTGTCAAAATTGCTAGAGCCATCCACTACGGCATCTCTCAGAATCATATGTATGAGAACTAAAAAAAAATGGGACCATAGAATTTCCACTTTCCTTCATATTCATATGGTGGTTTTGGAACATTGAACTCTAACAATTATTACATGTCAGAACCAACTGTACGCCATAGTGGCAGAGTATAAAACAGTTTCGACCACTTTGGTTTCTATACCGTGTGACTGAATCTAAGTACATAGTTGTTATTGCAGTTCACACCCATCTCGGGCGCAATGATAAAGCTGCTTAGATAAGTGAAACACCATTACCATGAAAACAGGTTATATAGTATAAGGCTAGTCTGTGCTATCAATTACCACAGATAGTGACAGCACATGTTTTTGAGAATAGATGTGCAGTGGGAGATTGGTACAGAGAAAAAAACATTGCTGTTATTACCCGTTGTCTGTGGCTTATGGTTTTTGGCAGTTTACCGGCAGGTTGTGGGATCGAATTCGAGCGACGTTTCGATCGAGGCACATTAAAGAAATTTAAAGAACGCCTGGTGGTCAAATAATTATATTGTGGTTTTCGGGTGTAAAACCCTAACAACTATTATTATTTCATTATTCTTGTAATTGACTCTTAATGCACAAAGTTTTTAGCAAACATACACTCACTCACTTGTGTTGATCGGAGATGGGCAGATGTAATTTTTCAAGTTGTGCAGCAAAATTTCCCCCCCCCCCCCCCAAAAAAAAAATACTACAGCCAGAGTGCTTAAGTTAAACAGGTACGTTTTCTGCATGCAGTAGATATTTCACTGAACTTGTTTTTATTTCAGATGATGTTATGAACTTTCAATTTTACAGCAATGGAAACGTAAATCTTTCTCATAGATTTTTTTTCTACATCTCAAAATGTTACTGTTCCCTCAATAGGACCAAATGTCATGGCACTTTTGCACTGCATAGCATATCAGGAGAAAATACGAAAGATTTAGAAAAATTGCATTAGCACTACAAGGACGGTGTTGCTCCCAACAGGGCAAAAACTTTGATCACAAATATGTTATGTGGTCGTGAAAAGAGGTATAAAAAAAAAAGTGTACCTATGTGTGCGTGCCATTCACTCAGAAAAATGCAGGAACCTCAAGACTAGCACCGGTTTATCTGAGTGATTCGTGAAATTAATGGTGCATGAATGGTTATTTTTGAGAATGTAGATATGTCTGAAGCAAATCACACATCCGTTAATTTTCTTTCTACTCTACCCTATGTCATCAATACACTCCGTACATAATTTTGCAGTTTTGTTTCATTCGTAATGTCGAAAATGGCTCTGTGGCACAGGCGATAAATCCACTTTTGCGAGTCTAGCAGCCTGGTGTACAGATACTGCACACTTGGGGGGAAATTTGTTACACTTACGCATCAATCTTGTGTTTACTCGTGTGTACTTAACATTGTAAAATTTTAGTGATGCATTCTAAGCATACATACTTGCATTGACTGTACCAATGACCGATCTGAATAGGACATTATTTACCTTGATATTTTCAAGTTTTTTCACAATCTTCATATTGTTGTATCCCACTTAAACATATTTTGTGGGTTCAGCCAATCGAGGCCCGTGACGAGGCATTCTGGGAGCAGTTCTGGGGTGAGTCCGGGCTGCAGAGCGTCCAGGATGTGTTCGCCCTGGTGCCCGCGGCCGAGATCCGGTCGTTGCGTGAGGAGGCCCCCTCGAACCTGGCCACCCTGTGCTACAAGGCGGTCGAAAGGCTGGTGCGCGCCGCCGACTCTCTCTGCAACACGGCTGCCCAGCAAACAGCCGGTATCTTCAATATTCTTAGCCTTCATTGTGCTTTAGACGTACTTCTACATGAGCCAGGATAGGGGCCAGTTGGCTGTACCTAGTGTAAACTTATTGTGCGCTACAATGAAAGAAAATTGGTGAAAGAAATCATGCTTGTGTTGTCCCATTTTCTTTTTTTTTATTGATTTGCTTTCACTGCGGTGCGCAAAAAGTTTACACTTTAGACTTACACTCAAACTCAATATGACCTTGAACACTGGAGCGCGGCGGGGTCGCACGAAATCAGAGGTTGCCCGCAGTCATGACTAGTCCCAGTTTCGGTTAACAAGCATAGTTGTCTCATTTAGGGATTATCTCAAGTAAGAAAATGTAGTTTATCTGTGTTAACGAAGGGAATCTTTAGCCACAGCTGGTATTGGAACATTTATGGCCAAGCGCTCCAGCATTGCGAGTCATATTTAGCGTCACTCCTCATAATTGAATGTTTGTTTTTTCTGTGGAAATTGCAATGCCTAACTCATCACACAATTCTAGTGTCACTGCCAAACAGTGTCATCACCAAAACAGTGTAAATAAATGCCAGGGCCACTCAAGAGGTCCCTGGAATTATGTTTCGTTGTGCTAGTCATACGCTCTATGGCAATGCTAACCTAATCATCGTTGAAGCAGGGTTCTTGTGCTCGCAGACTTGCTTTGTGGCTCCCGCCTTTGCTGGATGCGAGGGTTGAAGGGCTTTCTGAGAATCTGTTGGAGCTTAGCCGTTTCATTCGCTTTGTCATCTGCCGTGGTCGCAGAATCCATTTCCTCGAGGCCAATTTCTAGAACAGGGAGCAGCCAAGTGCAACTTTGAGCGAGACCCGAAGAATGCGGTGGTTGAGAGATGACTGGAACTTTATTATAGCAGAGAGCGGAGCCAGTTGGTAAGTATTCATTCGAAAAGACAGGGCATACAAAGACAGAAAGCAAGACACCACAAGACAGCGTCAAAATAGTTAGTGCTTCCTTCTTTTGTTCGTGTTTGCATGCCCTGTCTTTCAGAATGACAACTGGAATGTTGCTCTCTGCGAGGAATTGCTGAACAAGCGATGTGTGGGTTGGCGCATTACAAGTACTTACGGGACAGCTAAATTCTGGCGTATTCAGAAAAAAGCCTTCTATTGCTGCGCTCCAAGCAGTAGAACAGCCGTCAAGCAAGTGTGTCAGCTTGCAGGGGTCATGCTTCAAGGTGGATTTAGAAAGCATTGTTATTGGTTGCCACATTAGCATGCTGGACTATTGCTTCAAAATCTTTTTAAGTGCATCTCGTGTAAGATATTGTATTGTATGAGATTGTAAACCCTACGCTTCCGCCACGTTTGATGTAGAAGTTAGGCCAGCCTTTACTGGGGTACGGGGGTGCAACAAAAGTCGCTGTGATGAGCAATGTCAAAGAAGTGTATCCACAACCATTGATGAAGCAGAGGAAGCATATTATGATGATCATGTTGAGGTAATGGCAAAGTAGCCAATGAATGTACACAATATTGAATAAACATACCTCATATAGAAAAAATTACTTCAGGAATATTTTGCTCCATATAATTACTTTCATTCATCTGGGTTATAAAACTAGAGACACGATGTACACTAATAATGCTCGTATTAGTTTACTCTGGCATGTGATAGACCTTATAGGCTATTGGTTCATTAGTTTATAGCAGGATATAAAATTTATATTAAGATAACTGATGTGCTTCAATAAATTTATAGGCCTAATACACTTACAACCTGCACAGGCATTTATCACAGGCATGTGCATGTTCAGTTTAGATAAATGTGTGCAAAAGCAGTTTGCAACCACATAGTTGAGCAACCAAGCACAGGCTGTTATTTAAAAATGTGTTTAAATGGATCAGGGGAACGTTAAGAGCACAAAGATATTACAGTTGCACAAGAACTAAAGGTGCACACAATGTACTAGCTGAGCAAAATTGCAGAACTAGCGTAATGTATGCTGGAAACATACAATAAAGTCTTTGTCACATTGTTATACATAAGAATAAAGTGGAATCGATTGAGAATAAACTGAGAGTAAACTTATTCAGAATAAACACTCAATTAATCGAGAATTATCACGACAGTGAGAGCGTAACACTGTGGGCTTGTATTTTACACAAAGACTAAATTAAGGGTAGAATTGGCTATTCATTCATGTGTGTTTTTGAATTATATAGTCAGTTATCACATGCAGTGCTCAACTGTGTGCGGCTGCTGACACGCATCCTGCCGTACATCTTTGAGGACTCGGACTGGAGAGGCTTCTTTTGGTCCAGCCTTCCAGGATCAGCCGAGGACGACACAGCTGCCAATGGCGGAGCACAGGTACTAGCAGGAGCGTCAGTGCCAGAGTACTGTCATGGGGTCGTGCCGTTTACGAAGGTGGCAGTTGGCATGTCCAAAATTAGACTTTATTTTACTGGGCTTGGGGCTGGAATACGAAAAGTCAAACTGCAGAAAAACCATGCACATTGCACAGAGATTGTGGCGAACAGAGCGTCGGTCATCAATAATCTGATTTGCGCCAAGGCGCGCCTGCATTTATATATGACATTGAAGGTTCAAGAGTTGTAATTGGCGTTTGCGTGAGCTCACAAATAAACTCTGACCTTCAAGTCCTGCATGTAGTTTTAACTAAATGATCTCAGGCACTCACGAAGCTGCCCAAACATTGTGACATGATGTGCACCGAACGTTGCTAAAAACTTTTGTGGGTGAAAAACTAAAGCAAGGAACAGGTGTGGCAGTATTAATGAGAAAAAATTATTGTGACTCATTTATAACAATTAAGGCCGCTGAGATCTAGATACAGGATTGATCGTTAGGAACAAAAGGTTGCTGTAGCACCTTGTGTTTGGCTTACAAATGTAGCTTGCTAAGTGAACGAGAAAGCACGCAGTCACCATCAAAGATTTGCAGATCACAGAGTCTGAGTGAAAGCTTATTATTGTTATACTTAAGCATAGAGCCTGTTGCACTTGTATTTTGAATTTTCATATATGGAGAATGTTGCAGGGCTATATTTGCTGGCTACACTTGCAAACGTCTGGGAAATTCAATGTTTCTTAATATGCTGTTTTCTCTGCCGATCATGATATGGAGACTAACTTTACATAATGTGTGTGTCGTGTCAAAAGCATTTTGCTAAGGAGAGAAAAAATGAAAGTAAAATTTAACACTCAGTCCTGATATATTTTATTCAAGTACACACTTCTGTTTTAAGCACTTCTCTTCTGAAAAATCACTTCTTAATAGTTGCCCTGTGGTATGACATTTTATTTGGGTGGTTGCAGTTGTTCGATGATGAGTAGACTTTTGCACCGCAAGTACTCTTTGACGTTTGCTGCCTGCAAACTTTAGCATGCTGCGTACTGTGTAACTCAGAAGGTTTATTACGTGTGGGCGCATATGCCCTCACATTGAGCGTTTGTGATGCGTGTGCATGAAGCTTCTCGATAAAATTTGGCACAATGCCAAGATTGAGGTCGTTGGCACAGCTGTTGGGGCACATGGCCCAGATAAGTACCATGAGTGGCGCTGCGTACTGCAGACGACATATTTGTTGTGCTTGGTGCAGTGACATTTTGTACAAATAGTGTGGTGCAGAGTGAATGGCTTTGGCATCTGACATGACTCAGCGCTTGAATTTTGATGTAGTATGGATGAAGCAGGAACAGCGACTTGATGACTGATGGGGGCAGAAGTATGACACAAAATACACTAAAGTGCAATACGGATTTACCTTGTGGAATTAGGGTCGTCTTTTCTGTTGATAAGTACAGCTAGTGCAGCAGGCCTGTAGATAAGGAAGGTGCACCAAGAGCCCAGCCCCCCCCCCCCTCCTACATTCTGACTGAGGGGGGCATTTCAGTGAAAATAAATAGGAAAAAAGAGCCTTTTATGAACAGTGAAGGCCTTCAAAAAGTAGGCCCTTCCTCCCCCGTTCTTAAAAAAAATTCCTGGCTGCGAGCTTGTCGGGCAATGTTACGAATCCTGCACCGTTGCTGCAAACAGATATGAAGTAAGCACAGCATAAGATTTTTTCTCGGTCCTACGAAATTCGGTATTTAAGTCACCCACTGCAGTACCTTAGGCGGGATCGTCATTGCAGCTTAATGATGTAGAACAAGACATCACACACACAGTTAATTAGTGCATTGGGCATGTGTGATTATCCAAATCTCACATTAAGACAAGCTTCAATGACTCATGGCCGGGTCATAGTTTACTGGCGATTCAAATTTCTATTGCTTACAGCAGCTGTGCTGTCTCTTGTGCTGTTTCAGACGGAGTCGCTGGCCCAGTCACTTATCACAGCACTATGCGTGAGTACAGACTAGTTGTATGATTTTTAATAACGTGTGCATTACGTTACCTGTGCAACAAAGTTTAACTTTGTGGAACTTATTAGCATGACTATTGTCTCTTGAAACAACACTGATCTGTGTCTTTTTTTCGTTTTTGAAAGTTCGTGGTGACATTTATTCGAATTGCTGGTGTGTGTTAATAAAAGAGAACACCATCTAAATATTGTGCCATAAACTATATCTAAAAAAAATTTTTGATAGGTGTTACACTCTCGCAACACATCAAGCGGAAAGCATGGCTGCACTCGTAGATAAATAAGCCACATTCAGCAAGTGCATATGTTTTGACGCTATTGCTCGAATATTCAAACATGCTCGATTATTCGCACTAGCCTACACCATTCACACGGTGGGATGCCGTTCAAGTCTACATTTCCGCCTTGTAAGCTTATGTCAGTTATAAGACCCCTATACCACCCAGAAGTCAAAATGTGGTTGTGGTGTTGCAGTTGTGCACAAGTATACAACGAACACATAGCCGTGATCTGTTGCCGTTCGTGTGCTGCTTTGCGCTACTCTTCTGAATTATGCTCTACAAACATCAGTCTGTCCTCTTGAGAGGCGCAACGATTTTCTATAGCATGTGCCGTGTTCCTCAGAAATTCAGACTCTGACATCATACCTTTGACGTGATAAAGGGTTAAAAAAATTATGTTCTTTTTTTGTTTGTTTATATTCGTGGATGCAGTTGCTTATGCACTTTTCTTTATTTATTTTGCAGGATTTGCTGTTCTGCCCTGATTTCACAGTGTCCTGTTCGAAGAAGTCTGGCCCTGTAAGTAACTAAACTTTAGCATCTTCACGCCTGTTGGTCTAAAACCACGGTGAGAGGACGCAAACCTTTCACTGCCATTATTATAATCTGCATGGCAGCATCGGAACTGTTTTGCGCATTTCCAATAGGCATTAATCGAAACATAGCCAATAGAAGTGTTCCTTGTTTGTAGCCTGCATTGCCTTAACTATCTGCATTCTCCACTAGCAGCAAAACAGCAGTGCAACCACAAACACAGCGGCTCACTTTATTGGCTCTCGCACGAAACACCCGTGCAGTCAGTCGGCAAATGTTCATCTGAATAGCAAGCATCTGTGTTTAAAAATGGACCGCACGTACAGTCGAACCCCTTTGTGAGAGACACCGATGTAAAAGACAGTTTGGTATAAGAGACACCACTGTGCCTACATTGAAATTGGTGTTGATAAGAAAATGCATACGTGGTGTCCTGTTCATAGGAGACACCTTACATAAAAGACAAGATTTCCTCTCCAGTACGTGTCTCCTATAAAGGGGGTTCAACTGCAGTGGTCAACCCGATGCATGCAAATTGTACGGGTTCATTCGTAACGGGTATAATGTCTCATACAAGAAACATGAAGTCTCAAAACGCAAACATACGTGCACTAAGAAAAGCACGACCAGCCAGCACATTGTTCTTTCTTCCACTGTACATCCTCTGGAAGCTTCATATAACACTGCTTTTATTGTCTTGCTAGAGAGATGAAGTTGGTTTTCATGGCTTTAAAAAAAACATAATGCATACATAAAACATAACGCATTTCTGTGTAAGTTTGATGTCTTGCTTCAATGCGAAGAGACGCAAACTTCTACTGACGAAAAAGTACACCATTCCGTTCACTGCATAGTTACAGTATGTTTCCATCGTATGTATGTTTAGCGAGGCTCTATTGCCCAAGGTGCTACTGTATATTCCTTTAAGCCACCTTTGAAATCAATAAAATGTGCTATGAATAAAGCTGTGCAAATAGAAAAATTTTCGGTGTGAGGTAAATTTGCATATTAAAGTGTGAGAGTGAATTGATTATGTTTCGAATAGTTATATACTTCAGAGGGAAATTCAGAGGGAATAGTTTGAATACTTCAGAGGGAAATTGCATTTTTAAAAATATTGCAGAGGATTCTTAAACATATTCTTATGACAAAGCACTATGAAAGTATATCTTTGCCTAGGTTGATGAAGCGCTGGTGGGGAGGTGTCTCATAGTTGTCTTATCAAGAATGACGCAGTGCAGAGGCCGACCTATATTATGTACACGTTTTGTTGCGGCCAACGTGTTGCCGACAACACTTTGCAAGTGAAAGGCACAGATTCTACTCCCTCATCCTCTCCTCTTCTTCCTACTTTTGTGAAAGCCGAACTGGTGTGGCAGACAACATGTGGGTGGGCTCCTTCAGAGTCAGTAGTTTCGAATCTGCTTCGTAGATGTCAATATATTAGAGCATCCAAAATTTTGGGTGCTAAAAAATGTTCGGCTTCCGAATTTTCGAACTTTCGGACAATATTTCAGGTCTAAAACAGCCTATATTGAGCCCCCCCCCCCCCCCCGCTTGCCGCATCTATCACCTCCATGTTGGAACCAGCATTCTCTCGAGTTAATACATTTGTGATCGTAGCAAAGCCTGAAAGGCAGCTCTGCTGCAGTACGGGAATGTCTTGGGGGTGAAGCATATTGAAAATCTGAAGGGGCCACTGTTCATTGGATGTTCTGTCGGGCTCTCGGGCTGTTTTCGGGTTTATAAAAATGCTTGTCATAAACTAATTTTGCCACCAAATGCGCTGAATTTCACCAGCTTGTTCACAAACACCCAAGTATTGTACATAACACCGATTAAGAGCAAAAATTGGGTGTCGGTGGCAACGCGCGCTGCATAGGCTCAGTGGTTGCGGTGCTGGGCTGCTGAGCCAGAACACAGTTCGATCCCATTCATTGTGGCTGCACTTCAATGGAGTCAAAATGCTAGAGAGAGAGAGAATTTTTTTGATAGAGAGCTGGAGATGTTTGTCTGGCTTTTTTGCCCGACATGCTACTCCAGTTAATGTGATATAAACACATAACACATACAGTCACACACGTGAACCATGCTATTTACAATGTTTCGTTCAGGCTTGTGGAATGTACTTAAGCACTGGCAGTGCTTTTGAGTCCCGTGTAGTGTGAATGTCGTTGCTTGTCAAAGAACCCTGGGTGGTTAAAGTTATCTGTAATTCTCCATTACGGAATCTGTCATAGCCCGAGTCGCCTTGGGACATCAGACCAACACTTTCTCATCTTTGCTTACTACAGGTTCGTTTCTTTTTTGTTTGTTTCATGCCACAATGTTACAAAGCATCCCGTTGAATATACACGGACCTTTCCTTATGTCCGCTGTTATACGCTCCAGTTATCTCGATGACGTTTGCTCCACCATGATGCGTTAGCCAGTACACTGGCTTGCAGCGAGCGGTTTGACAGTCATTGCACGAACAACTGGCGCCCACTGTTTAATTGGCACAGGAGCAACCCGAGGAGCCATGGTCCCTGGACAGCTGCGAGTACATCTGGGCGTCGGGCGTCGGCTTCGCCCACTCGCCGCCCTGCGTGCCGCAGCACGACCAGAACCGGCTTGAGCTACTCAAGCTGCTACTCACCTGCTTCTCGCAGACCATGTACCTCACTTCGCAGGGTGAGAGCAGTAGTGGGCACATTACTGACAAAGAAAAGTAACTCCGTTTCAGTCACCTAAAGTAAGGAAGTAACCCTGTTACAGTTGCAACAATGTTAAAGTTGCACGGCAATACAAAAGACTAGAAGACGCTGAGTGCATACAAAAATTGGTTTATTTTTTAAAAGCACATATCGGTTATGTGGGCTTGTATCAAACAAACATAAGCGGATGCTCAGAGCAGAGATTGAGATAGAGGCCTGGTGAAAGGGTGCTGCGTAAAAGTTGCATCTTTTCAAAAGAATAAACCAGTCGGTAGTTTGTGCTCGACATGTTGTCTTGTGTTTCTTCATCTGTGCAGTGTCTACTTAGTACAACTTTAATGATTAATGAACACCTTCTAGTATGCTAATAGCTCTTCTCTACAGCTAAAAGTTTCAGCAAGGTAGACTTTTCATGGTTTCTGCTTATCAAGCAAAAAATTTTTGTTTTCATGGCAAATTGCAATTTGTTTTACTGGTGTCTCATGGGCATTTTTGATTGCGATTACGGGCTATCTTCATTAAGTTCGATTTTGAGCAGGTATATCATAATTATAATCAGGCATGATCAGAATAAAGAAAATTGAGATGTGCATACTCTGGCTCCGAGATTTCGATTGAGTCAACTTTACACAAAACTCAGTGCATAATAGATTGGGCCATTTCGCAGTGACCGTTGCTGATCGCTGTCAAGAAATCCAATGCAGATTGGTCGTGATCACGATCAAAATGTCCCTGTTACAAATCACGATCAAAATGTCACGATCACGATCAAAATGTCCCGTTATGTCCGGGTTTGTTGTATTGATATTTCAGTACAAGAAACATAGTTTAAAATGTGGCATGAACTGTCTGATGCAAACTTCACACAGAAATATTTAAATGTGAACTTTACGAGAGAATTTTTTATTGTAAAACTTTGCAGTGAACCTATCCAAAACTTACGTAAAACTTTGAGAATATAAGGTTCTCGTGAAACTTCTGTACGTAGTACAAACTAACTGCAAAAATTTCACAGTGCCAGCTTATGTGCAATTCTTAGAATTCAACCTTTACGTCTGTTTGCACACACCTTGGTAAGTGATTGCTCCTCGTTGTTTATGTCTGCCCAGAGGCCCACCAGCAGCCCAACAAGTGGATTCATTTCTTCACATCAGCCGACAACAGGTGCATAGAAAAGTTTCCTTTTTTTTGTTACATGGGTCCAGAAGTCTATCACGACAACTGCTCATGTGGCATAGGCACCCATGATGCGTAAACAATTTAATTTATCCTGCAATAGACTGTTTTCAAAATCCACAAGTGTGCTTCCCTACGCTGCACATTCGCCCGACTAGTGGTGGCACCTGGTGTGCCTCAAGTGGAGATGAAGTTGTGGTTGCGTGTTCTTGGGCTTGTCTGTTATGCGTGCTATGTAGAAAAATTAAATGATCCTAAAGCTTCGCCTTTAGGAGTCTAACGCGATTGCGACATCTTGCTCGTAGTGTGTACTTCAAACACTTAGTGCGTGAAACCTTTGTTAATTTGCTATGCACCCACTTCGTGGCTTTAGGGGAATAGGCGCAGTAGCATGTGTTCCTTATGTAGTGGAGTACCGGCTCTCAACCACGGAGCCATTATGATAATCACACATTCTGACGCCCCAATGGCAATGAATGCTTGTACCACGCATCACAACTGCAATATTTCATGTTTCATTGTGAAGCATATATATACAGGACACGTGTGTTTGTGAAGCATGAAAGCTACTTTCACTGCATTTCCAGGTAGGGGGAGTTCTTTTCTCTGTTTTCACAAGCCAGGGTGTGGCTGTTTGGTTTAACAGCCGCTTGCCACACAAACGACCTGGGTTCGATCCCCACTTCACTCCAGGGATTTTCATCATATATTTATTTTATTTGCATCGTTCTCGATTTTTAGGTCACGCATAAGATCATGAGCTCTTTAACCCTGTTGCGTTTATATACAGAGAATTCAGAGATAGAGGAGGAATGCACATTATATGCCGATTCTAAAGCTTGACTTCTCACCATTGCGTTGTATTGCATCCTGGAACATTTTTTCACATTTTTATTTTTTCATGGTTTGTAGTTGGGGATGCTTGTTTTACGCAGGGCCAGATAATAGAAGGAAAAAAAATACAATACAACATGCCAAAAGGCATGAGATTAGAACAAAGTCAGAACACGCGACGTCTCTGTGTTCATCTTAATTGTCATCGGTCGGTGATTGCCTAATGACACGAAACTAGCAGTCTTTCTCGAAGTAACGTTATAAGAAGCAGTGTAGGGACCTTAAGCCAAAAGGGTGCAAGACCTTAGAAGAAGCTTAATATTTTCACAGCCCGTACTTGAATCAGCCTAGGACTAGATCTGCATCCTGTGCTGGGACTGAATAACTAAGGCACCCGTTCAATATTCAGTTAGCTCCTGAAATATAAGTGAGATTAAGAAACTTGGATCTCATAAGTTGTTTCACCATCTTTGCTAGTAGCACTCTAACACCGTACGGTAACACTCTAACAGCAGCGCTCTAGTGGCAACACTGTACTGGTTAAACACTCTACCCTTGCTCTACTGGTTCGGCTTGAATAACTCATGAATTTTAAATCTTAGGGAATTCTGTCTGGGCTATCCGGTTATATAGTTTATGCCTGTAGAGGGTGTGTAATAGTGAATTCCAACGGCAGATTCGAAGTGGTTGATGAGGTCTCCGCGGGAGGGCTTTTGCCAGAGCAAATAGCAAGGGCCATTAGCACAAATACGCTTCTAGGAGTGCCCAGCATTTCTCGTATCTTGTGCCATTTTTAGTTTTCAATCTTTTCAGCTTGAACTCTCATGTGAGCTGTATTTAAAGTTAAACGTATTGAAATTTTTGTCTCCTTTATTTTGATGAAAGTTACGCCGTGACTTGTTCTCCCCTTATCGATGGCGAACCCAGCGCATGCTGGGTTGAAAGTGTGCGTTATGAAAAATGACGTCAAAAACTTGTTTTTGCACGCTAGATTCGATATCACTTGAGCTCTCGCTTGTTGATTAAAAAATAGAGCTACAATAATTGCTCTCTGCAAGCAGTAAATGTACAAGTTAGTGCAGCAATGCACCACTTGTTGCCTCCAAGCTATGGCTCGCCTCAGCGACCACGGGCGGAGATAATCGGTGTGTTGGGGAATGCATTGTGTTGTTGATGTGTTATGCCACACTTAGCGCAAACACAGTGTGCTTGCAACTTCCTGTAGATCCTGCCACTTTTCGCGAAATGGAGAGAGCTGCTTCTTGTAGTCTATGTGGCGAAGAAGCTGCTCCACATCTGCTAACGAAACTTACTCAATCTGTCATTAGGACAGCTTTGCTCTGTGTAGAGTGGAAAAACTGCCCCTGTAAGTCATCATAAGGTAGACTAGAAATTGAAGAGTTATTTTTTGCTTCTTTCTTATTGATAGTTTAGTTGCATGTGAAAAAATTTCTGATACGGTTTCGGAGGTTAATGATAAGGTTTCACGGGTTACTTCACATTGGTCAGATAGCTCATCGAATCGGCGCACTTCGAGCAGGATGGCGTCGGCTTCAAGATATGGTGAGTCCTTGCATACTTTGTTAATTCATTTGTTTGTGTAATGACGTGCGAGTGGTCTTCTTGCCATTTCATTGACTTCCTTAGCTATGCGACTGAGAACAAAGCACAATTACTTGTATGGATAAAACCATGTGTTAACATCTTGGAAATGCGCAATCGCTTTCTAGGGAAAAATATATCGCTGTGGATTGACTTGCAGACATGCGCTGCCACTGTTCACCTCGCTGCTGAACATCGTGTGCGGCTACGATCCCGTCGGCTATGGCCTGCCCTTCAACCACCTCCTCTTCGCCGACCATCGGGAGCCCCTAGTCGAAGTGGCCCTGCAGCTACTTGTGGTCACCCTGGACCACGACTTCCGGCCACCCCAGCAGCAGAACAATGCTGGCAGCAACGGCGCAGTGCGTATCCAGTGTCAGGCGGTTTCTTGCAAGCCTGAATCAGGAGTCAACAGCTTTATGCTCGTCCAGTCCTAGCGGTGCTGAAATGGGAGGGACATGAGCGTAGCCAGGGGGGGGGGACTCAACCACCTTCCTCGAAGTGTTTCAATATTACTTGCATAAATATACGAGCCCATACAAACGTACACATTAATATGAATAAAGCACGGTTGAACCCTCCCCTCAAAAAAAAAGTTTCTGGCTATGCCCCTGGTGGGGGATAACAACTCAACGAAAAATGAATGTGTAGCTCACAATTGAGCGGTAAATGATAAACATAATATTAAGCCATCAGAAGGTGGCAAAGCAAGTTGGAGAACAAACAGAGGTAGATTAGATTAGAGTTTAGATTACAGTGTGATTATGTGACGGGCCAGGTCTGTAGGTTGACCTGGCCCGTTCACATGAGACAGAAACTGGTCGTCAGTTAGAGCAACAAAATAGTTGAAAAATAGAAAACACACTCGAGGAAAACAGCTGATTGTATCAAGCAATGAAATTAGGGGAAAGATTTTAGGAATTAAATGGAATCAGCGCTTGCAAGAGGGGGTAAATTACAAGGTCACTGGTAGAGGCCTTTTTGATGCAGAGAACTTAAAAAAGAGGCAGATATTCATTATAGTAATGATGAATTGTGTACGTATATAAGAAAAATACTAATTTCAAGCATTGCGATTTCGTACTTAAAGCATACCTTTGTCAATCCCTAGTGTCTGTTGTGGGCCCTGTCACTGTAGATACATTAAGGCATTTCTTTGTTAAGCCTTTTGTGCATGCATATGATGCATACACGGAGTTTTTGAAGTTCTTGCGCAAGCACACAAGGTAAAGATGAGAAACCCAAATGGGCACGAAAACTTCTAAATAAATATGTTCCAATTAGGCCAATTCGAAGTTTTGATACGTGGGCTATAACTAAGCTGATCTGCCGATGCAGGGCCCCGAAGGCGAGGCCTGGTGTGAGAACCTGTTCATCAACTACCTGTCACGCATCCATCGAGAGGAAGATTTCGCATTCGTGCTGAAGGGCTTCACGCGGCTTCTGAACAACCCGCTGATGCGCACCTACCTGCCCCACTCGGCCAAGCGCATCGCCTGCCACCAGGAGCTGCTCGTTTTCTTCTGGAAGATGTGCGACTACAACAAGGCAAGCTAAAAGAAACCCACATTGGGAAGGTCTGGAGGTGGTCGGGTCAAGGGCAGCACAGCAGAGTGCTAGCAATTCGTCATGTTTTTTAAGTGTGGGGAGGAGGAGCTCAGCTTGTCGTCCATGTATCTCGGGTGGTGTGATTGCACTCACAGAGAAGTGCTCACTACAGGCCATAACAATGCTAGTGATGCTCTAAACAGGGTTAAAAGGAACAAACAAGGTCTAAAATGATACACTTATCCAAAATAAAGCAGTAATTGCATTAACTAAATTACAAATGCTAAACCTTTTTGCAAAAATGAGGTTGACTCCAGGGGACGTGGGAGAGGGCTCCGCTGCCTTACCAAGTGAGCGAATGCCTTCATCTTTGTGCCACCTCGGCGTCGGCACTGCACTGGTGCGGCTCGGCGTCGCTGCGTGACTACATTCAACGGGGGAAACAACCTGACAGAACTCGCTGCAGACTACATGTATCTCGACTGCTGCAGCAAGCAGGAAGTCGATGAAGAGCCGGAAGAAATAGCGCGCATGTCGTGCTCCCAGTCATTGAATCTGCCTAGCTAAATTCTGCTTGTGTCGTGGAAACCCTGCATGCTTACCCAAACATTGGAGTCATTGACGCTTTGGTAAACAAAGCAGTACGTGGTAGCTCTACAAACGTGAATCGCTGGGTGCCTGTCCTGCCCACATCCTCAAGTCTCACAGTAGTGTGCTATTGGTAGAACTGTGAAGTCAGCAAGAGGTGCATGCAACGGCTTGACACTACAGAATCGTTAAAGAGAAAAAAAGGCAGTAATACAGAAGTGGCCTTTTTTCTCAGCTTTCATGGGCAGCTGCGCGTACGCCCACTAATAAAAAGCTATTGAGGAAGAAAGTCTGAAGGGATCAAGTGGTTTGTTATTTTTACTTTTTTCCTGCCGCTGACTTTAGATGTGTAGCTTCCTAAGGGGTGTGTTTCATTCAGGCTGCTTTGGTGACCAGTCGTTGCGTTTCACGAGGTGCTAGTGCTACGCGTCAGAGGCATTATTTTTGCCTTACCCACCATTGGCTGTTTAAGTGTGTGCCAAGCTTAGGATGACAAAAATCACGTCAGGGATGTGGGGGGGACATCAAGTGGTATACCAAAGCTTGAAGTGAACAATGCAATTTGTCCGTAAAACTAATTAAGTCCCACTACTGTGCCACCACGTACATAATGCTTGTGCAGTTGTTTTGCGTTTGCCACTAAATTTATGGTGACATCTTTCAATGTTTCTTTCGCAAGAAGGCACACCTACTTTCGTACTGTTTTGTAGCAACCTATATCTCCAAAATTCGACCCTCATATCACTATCCACATTTCAAGTTTCGCTGTTATTGTAATCAACTCACAAAATTGGAAGAAAAAAAACCCACGAAGGGCCTGCCGTAGCGAATGAGCTCTGCTGTTAATCATGAAGTCATAGGTTTGATATCTGGCGATTGCGTAATATGAGGCGATACTGTGGTGCTCTCTATAACTGACTGCAGATTTGGCATGTGGGGTATCTATAGTAATACAGTTTGACTATGAGTGCTTTGTGGAAGGTGATTATTATCAGGATTTCATTTTGTAGGAGTGTGTTCGCGCCAAATACTAAGCTGAGAAATAAATACTTTTTGAAGTATACTTCATACTGAATATTGATCATCTGTGCTGCCTGCCTCTTGATCATTTAACGCAATGAGCCTTGTACGTTCAGTTCAGAAATGGGATACCTGTGTTGCCGACACGATGTCACATTCTTGTCTGAAAATAGCTAGTGCAAATTTTGAACAAACAAATGGACAGAAAAGCAGGTAACAATTGCTGTTTTCGGACAGAGATACATTTTAATGAATGCAACTCTTTCTCTCTATTTTTTTGTTCTTTATTGTTTAGCCTCTTGGCATTGTGCCTTGCACCATGTCGAAGCTACTATTGCAGGCAGAATTTTAGTGACAGCACATCATGTCTACCGAAAGCTGCATTGCATTTCTGGGGATGAAAGCTGTGGTACCATCACTGGTTATTAGCAGAATGTGTAATGGTAGATCGTTTTCGGTGTTTTGCACTTTATACTGACATTTCTGCTGGGTCATTTTCTTGTACAGTAATTATCTGTATCGGTTCACTGTCTGCATACACAGAAATTTTTGTTCTACGTGCTGAAGAGCTCCGAAGTGCTGGACATCCTGGTGCCCACGCTGTACCACTTGAACGACGCCCGCGCTGATCAGTGTGAGTAGAGTTTAGGTGCACATTGTGGAACACACATTCTTCGCTGAGGGGCTTAGTCTGCTGAATTGGTTATTTAGTTGAGCCTTATTTGTTGATGTAATCAATGCTGAACCCCTCCCTCTCTGCCATCTTCATGCAGCCCGTGTCGGCCTGGTGCACATTGGCGTGTTCATCCTGCTGCTGCTGAGCGGGGAGCGCAACTTTGGCGTGCGGCTCAACAAGCCGTACTGTGCGAGTGTACCCATGGACATTCCAATCTTCACGGGCACCCACGCCGACCTGCTCATCATCGTACGCTTATTCATCTTCTCTTTTCGTCACGTTTTGGAATGTTGCAGAAATTCACAGTATCTTACTTCACATTGCGCAGCTTCGGAACTGCCGATATCTCGCAATTATGCTGGCTGGCAAAATAAGCCATAGTTTCACCGCGGTTGCGAATCAATGAATGGGATGACAACAAATTAGACTCGCACAATGAACAGAAAGCAACCTGATACTTGCGGAGCGTCTGTCCTACCTAGAGGATACACGAAAATAAAACACGCAAGAGGAGCGCAAAGCATCAACTGCCACAACTCAACACTTGCACCATGCTGCTCAAAGACAAAGGAAAATGTTTGGAAATGGTGCACAAGTACCTATACGTTGGGCTTTTGCAAATAGCAAATTTTAGATTCGAAGTGAACCCAAAGCGAATAGCGATTTTCGTCGAATATTTTCTAATCGAGTTCAAATAGTATATATAATACAAGGCCTGTGCGAACGCCAATTTTTTATTCAAACAATGTGGAAATGACTTTGAACAGTAGCAGGATTTGACTTTTGGTACAATGCAAATGATTACCTGTAAAATGTGTTACATTTCAATATTTACTATACATGGAGCATATAAGCCGGTATAACAAGCTTTCAAACATCAAAAACGATGAATCGATGTGAGATTGGTATGTTCATTTAATCGTAAAATGGGACTTCGCGACAGTGCGGATTACCAATAAGTAGATGTTTTCACGGCTTAGCATCCCTCTACTGCAGTGAAACCACCTTTACAAAGTTACACTCGCATTAACATGCATTTAAATAATTGCTTTCAATGTTTAGTGCCCGTTCACTGCAGTGAAACCGCCTTTACAGGGTTACACGCAAAACAATATACATCTATTCGTTCATTTTGAATACTTTCAATTTTTCAATAATTTAAATTCAAATCGAAGCAAGTTCAAATACTGCGATATTCACTCGAATATTCGAAGCTTCCGAATATTCGCGCAAACCTAGTATACACTGGACCAATGAGAACTAACAATTGTCATTGTTGGTACTTCGTGTTTGATCATCGTGCTGCAAGTGTCGACTATGCCAGCACCTCCTTGTGGAACACTGTTATGTGTGGGTAACCCCTCTGTGCCTTCTGTGGCAAATGGCGTTTGAAGCATTTCTTGCATGACATTTCATGCCATGAATTTGCAGGTTCAGTGCGTTCAGTCGGTTCTTACACCTTGTGTCTTTCTCACAAGCACGGAACAGTATAGGGTTTAGCGATCTCCCACAAGTGAGAAACTTACGATGCCCCTGTACTATTGCTACCTTCCTCATTGCTGCCTTTTTTTAATTAGGTAAACTATTACTACAAACAGCACTCATATTTAATGGCCAGGGAACATAATTTAATTGGCTGAGTTTACGCACAAAATTATAGCTAGTGTCGTTATTGTTTGCAGGTTTTCCACAAGATAATCACCACCGGTCACCAGCGACTGCAGCCCCTTTTTGATTGCCTTCTCACCATCATTGTAAATGGTAAGAGCCGGTTAATTAGTTAATTGTGTCTCACTGAAGTGTGTAAAAGCAGAGTCTAGCTTCTGGCGAACCACAGTTTCTGAATTCAAGTACAGTCGAACCTCGTTATGATGATTTACTGATTATAATGAAGGGACAGGAAATAGTCGTGTCCTTGATTCAGTGCTGAAAATGCACATTTGTAATAAACTTTCATATTTAACGAACATGCCTTAGTGCAACACGTGACTTTGTCGTGACAAGGTTTGGCTGTGATATACTCTTTGCTCTGTAGGTGTCAGACTGAACTAAATTTGTTTTTGTTTTTATGAATGAAATTTGTTAAAGAAATTTTCTAACTAGGGTATGAACTGTGGTATCTCTGAACTGATTACTATTCCTATGCAGCGTAGTTTTATTGATCCTTAATTACAATGTAGTCATGGTGACATTTTATCACGGTGTAGCCATGGTGATCTACACAGTGTAACCTTGGTGATATTTAATCTTGATGTCTACTTGCTGATCATTAATCACAACGTAGCCTCAGTAATTCACCCGGGGTAGCCTTGGTGTAACCTCGGTGATTTTCAGTCGTGGTATTGTCCTAGCGATATTTACAATATTTACTCACTGTAGCCTTGTTTATCTTTAAGCACTGTGTAGCCTTGGCGATATTTAATCTCAGAGCACTAATAAAGACATTACTGCGGGGAAAATGTGAATGACGGTAAAAAAAAGAAACATTTAGAAAGCTGGGAGGTTAAAGTCACTGCAAGCTTCTGTGCCTGACACTTCTCATTGTTGCTTCGTATTTCTATTAATTTTGTTTTCTTGTAGTTTCACCTTATCTGAAGACTTTGTCCATGGTGGCCAGCACCAAGCTGCTTCATCTACTTGAGGTAAGTACATGGAACTAAAGGGATCCCTTTAATGAATCTACACTCAAACCTCATTATAACAAAAATGCATCCTGCACAAAAAAATACGTTTTTTATATCCGAAAAACCGTTATAAAATTTTGTTTTGAACACTATAGTTATTGCAACAATATTTTCTATTTTCTTAGTTTTCTTTGTCATAACCGATATTTCGCTATACCCTGGTTCAATATAACAAGATTTAAGCCTTCCATGAAAACCGGATCACTGACTCTTCAATTGAAAGTAATATGGAAGCATTCAGTCAGTACCAACTAGCTGAGATGCCTCAACTAATTAAAGGTCTCCAATGCCAAATTTGATAGTAGCTCAATGGGTAGTTATTCAATAATATAAACAGAAAATGATAATGCCATCTTTTCGTATGTAGTTCAGCTTCATTGATTGAGATCTTTCAAGTTGCATTGAAAGGGAGCCCGAATATAAATCTGGCAAACTTGAAGAACTTAATTGACCTCAGTGGCTCGTTGCATTGAAAGAGAGCCCGAATATAAATCTGGCAAACTTGAAGAACTTAATTCACCTCAGTGGCTCAAACTCGTGAAGGGGTGCTAAAACTTGTGGCGCTGCATTAATGTACCAATGCTAGTGTATGAAATTTCTGAAAGCACCATTGTTAACAAATACTTTTTTATCGTTCTAACTTTATTCGGTCTTTATTTTTTCTCTATCTTTATCTTCAAAGCTGTAATCTCTCCTGCTTGTGCCTTCATGTTTCTGCATCGTTAATCTGTTTGTATTCTTTTGTTAGAGACTTAATCGGTAAAGATGTGTGCTGATGCCCACATGTTCCTTATCCCCATTTTGAATATTCCTGTTGTGTTTATAACTTGCCAAAGATATTGTACAACATATGTTTATTTTGTTTCGTATTCTTGCTGTGTTTCATTCTATTTACGTTTCATTTTACATATCTAATTTGTCACTAATAATGCATCACACATTTCGTTTTCTAACCTTTCTTTTTTTGGTTATATGTGACATCGCCCGCTTCTCCCTGCAATGCTTCAGTGAACTGGCTTGTAGCATAGCACAGCAACAAAGAACGACAAAGAAGAATTACAAAAAAAAAACGGAAGCAGTAACTTTCACGAACGAAAATTTTATTTACATAATGAACAATAAACCAACAATCCCACATTGGTACCCTTGATGCTTTAGTGATTGAGAGTAAGCTAAATAAACGAAAGAAGGGAGCTAGTAGGCCTAATCGATTGATGCTGGTGTCAAACGGCATTGTGCAGGCGTTCAGCACACCGTGGTTCCTCTACTCAAACCCAACCAACCACCACTTGGTGTTCTTTCTGCTCGAGATCTTCAACAACATCATCCAGTACCAGTTTGACGGTGAGCGCAGCGCAACAGAAGCCTCTATGCTGCTTGTTGTTCTTAATTTTTTTAAATGTGAAATACTTGAGAGGCACACAAGTATGGCTAGAATTAGCATTTAAATGTTTGTATTGACCAAATCCCAGTAATAGAGAACATGTTTTAAAACAAGAAGAAGAATCGGTTGAAGAGAGGCACAAAGCTCGCTACCTTTCTCCTGGTGATGTGACTGAGATAATTTTATTCAATGTCGTTAATATTTGGAAAGTTGCTGCTACCTGTGTACTTTAAGACAATAAATGTCGTGTCACTGAAGCGATCAAGCATAGGCCATAATCATTCTCCAATAATGTCTTTATTACCAAAAGCTTGTGTAAGAGCTACAGCGTTGAGGAATGCAAACAGAACGTCATTACAAGTACTTTTTAATGAAAGTCATTATTTCGCTTCACTTCAGCAATTACTTTTCCAGGTGCAGCTGCATAAATGTTACCTCGTTAAGCAGTTAATGTAGTTGCGGGACCATTATTAGAATATCAGTGCAGTGGGATTCGGCTAATCTTACTCTATTGAAATTAGTTTTTAACAATCAGTCATTCCTCTTGCTTCGGCAATAGCGGGGACATTTTGGTGCAGTTCGTCATGTGGTGGTAACCATTTCAAGTGGGGCAGCTTGGAACGTGTTTGCGCTTTCGTTTTACATGTTTAGTGGATTTTTTCTCCCATGCAGGCAACTCAAACCTCGTGTACACTGTTATTCGGAAACGGCACGTGTTTCACGCACTTGCAAACCTGCCCACCGAGCAAGGCACAATCGAACGCTCCCTGAGCCGGCGCTCCCGCAGCAAGGGCCCCACTCCCAGCGTCCCCACCACGCCCTCCGAGGAGGCCGTCCCTCCTCCGGCCACGCCCACTGCAGAGTCCGAGACCCAACCACCGCCAGAGGAAGCACCGCCCTCGTCAAGCTTCAATGCCACTCTAGCCGCGACTCCACGTGCGTACAATCAACTGCGAATTTTCGTGGTGCCAAATTTTTTGGACTTGCCTGAAAATTATGACAGTCTTGAGTTGTTGCCAGAAGCCCCATCAAGCCAATGTAGGAGAGCGTCTAAAACAATTAAGTTGAATGCGGGGCCAGTTGGTACAACATAAAATGGGAATATATGAGCGCACAAGGTAGAAGGAAAAGCACTTGACAGTGGCGACAGCGTCTTTCCTGTCAAGTGCTTTTCCTTCTACTTTATGCGCTCATATATTTCCACATTGCGTCTAGAACTATTTAATGTCTGATTTTTTGGACTTTCTGATGAAACTCCATGTCTGACATGAAAGCCAGCACATCCGTGAGTCGGTCCATTTGCAACTGTCACCGATTCCACTAGTCAGCTCTGCCCCAATATGAAGGGGTGAAACATACTGAGAATCCGCTTCCTTGTAATGTGTTTCATGTCTGGTAGGCCTTCAGAGCTATTTTGGGCGTGGCTATGGCAATTTTACCTCTTTATCTTGCCGGCCCTAGGAAGTCTAAGAAATCAGACATCCACTGAACTCCTAACTTCAGCTCTGTCGTTCGCTTCTCACTTGTGGGGTCTCTTGAGCTCAAGGAACAAAGGTGACAGTATACGTCTAATGCAAACAAACAAAATGGCACTTGTTTGCGCCTTTCTTTACATAGAAAGGCCTCTTTCTGAATAATTCAGTTGACAGCATGCCAGTGCAACAAGCTGCAAAAACGACGATGTTCGACTCAGCACGGCAGAATAATGTGCGAGCAAAGTTTACCTCTGCCAGAACTCCAAGCTTATATCATCAAAGGGTCAAGTCCTTTTATAGAGGCACGCATTTTGGGGAACAGAAAGGAGACTGCAGGATAGTCCCTGTAAATGTGTGCATAAAATACCAAGAATGATAATGAAACTGGTCGTGCCACCTTTGTTTTGTTTTTCTGTCTCGGCACCTGTTTGGCATGTTTTGCGCTATCCTGGCCTCTTAAGATGTCCCTGCTAGCCTAGCACCACCTTGTAGAATAGTGGCTCGCTTGCTTGGATAGTTTACCAGTGACTCACCAAGATGTGTGACTCTGTGCAGGTCTAGATAAAATGACCGAGCAGGCACATCCGGCCTCTTCGCCTACAGGCAGCACAGCCACAAGTCCGGTGCAAAAGTCTCCGCCTCGGGTGAGTGAGTGTTACATACCCAGCTTGGGGCAACCATCGGTATATGTGTGGTACATCTCACACCACGTTTTTTTCCACAACTGTGTCAAAGCGGCGATGGCGTAGTGGTTCGAGCATCCGCCTCGCATGCAAAGGTCCATGGTTCAAATCCCGGTGCCGCGCAGTTCCCAACCGGATAAAAAAAATCAGCGTGGTGACGGAACTGCATTAAGAGGCCTGGAGTGCGGCCTCATCGTTAACCATCGCCGGGAACGCACTCCCTCACCAGAGAAGGATTGGCCACCCTGGTGCAGTACCTGGCCACTATTTCCCACATGCATACGTCAAATAACTCACGGCCCTCAGTCCCCAGCAGCTGCGAAGCAACTGACCACGGCGGCGGTCAGATCTGCAACGCAGCAGAGGGTGCTAAGAATTTCTGGATCCGGACAGGCCATCGTTGGAACCTTAACTTGGCAACGTTTAACGCTAGAACCTTATCTGGTGAGGGAAGTCTAGCTGTACTATTCGAAGAGCTAGAGGGTGTTAAATGGGATATAATAGGGCTCAGTGAGGTTAGGAGAACAAATGAGGCCTATATGGTGCTACAGAATGAACACGTCCTTTGCTATTGGGGCTTGGCTGACAGAAGAGAACTGGGAGTGGGGTTCCTAATTCACAGAAACATAACTGGCAACATAGAGGAACACTGTAGCATTAATGAAAGGGTGGTAGGTATTGTAATTAAACTGAATAAAAGATACAAGATGGAGGTGGTACAGGCTTGCGCGCCTACATCCAGCCATGATGACACTTCAGTTGAAAGCTTCTATGAAGACATGGAATCGGCAATGAGTAATGTAAAAACACAGTATACTATACTGATTGGAGACTTCAATGCAAAGGTAGGGAAGAAGCAGGCTGGAGACCATGCAGTAGCAGATTATGGCATCGGTACTAAAAATGCCAGAGGAGAGCTACTAGTAGAATTCGCAGAACGCAATAATTTACGGATTTTGAATACCTTCTACCGAGAACGAGGAAACCGCAAGTGGACATGGAGGAGCCCTAATGGCGAAAATGAGAACGAAATAGACTTTTTAATGAGTGCACACTCAGGCATCGTGCAGGATGTGGAAGTGTTTGGCAAGGTACGATGCAGTGACCATAGAATGGTACGGTCTCGAATTCGCCTAGACTTGAAAAGGAACGACAGAAACTGATACGCAAGAAGCCAATCAATGAGCTAGCACTGAGAGGGAAAGCAGAGGAATTCAGAGTCTCACTTCAGAACGGGTGCTCGGCTCTTAGTTAGGAAACCAACCTTAGCGTAGATACAATGAATTATAATATGACAAGTATCATTTTGGAGTGTGCAGTGGAAGTTGGAGACAGGGTAGTTAGGCAGGACACTGACAAGCTTTCCCAGGAAACGAAGAATCTCATTTGGAAGCGTCAAAGCATGAAAGTCTCAAGTACAACAGACAAAATAAAACTGGCAGAGCTTTCGAAGTTGATTAATAGGCGTAAGGTATGCGAGATAAGAAGGTATAACATGAAGAGAATTGAACACGCTCTGAAATACGGAGGAAGCGTCCAAGCAGTGAAGAGGAAACTTGGGATAGGCAAAAATCAGATGTATGCACTAAGGAATAAAGAAGGCAAAATAACTACCAATATGGATAGGATAGTTAAAATAGCGGAGGAGTTTTACAGAAATCTGTACAGTAGCCGAGACAACCACGACCTTAATACTGTAAGAACTGGCAGTAACCCACATGACACCCCACCAGTAATGATAGAAGGAGTAAGAAAAGCTTTGGAAAGCATGCAAAGAGGCAAAGCTGCTGGTGAGGATCATGTAACATCAAATTTGCTGAGAGATGGAGGACAGATTGTATTAGAAAAACTAGCCACCCTGTTTACGAAGTGTCTTCTGACGGGAAGAGTATTAGAGTCTTGGAAGAACGCTAACATCATCTTAATACATAAGAAAGGAGATGACAAGGACTTGAAAAATTACAGGCCGATCAGCTTGCTCTCTGTAGTATACAAGCTATTTACAAAGGTAATTGCTAACAGAGTAAAGAAAACATTAGAATTCAATCAACCAAAGAAACAAGCAGGATTTCAAACAGGCTACTCAACAATCGACCACATTCATACTATCAATCAGGTAATAGAAAAATGCTCAGAATATAACCAACCACTATACATAGGCTTCATAGATTACGAGAAGGCGTTTGATTCAGTAGAAATATCAGCTGTCATGCAGACACTGCAGAATCAGGGCGTTGATGAAGTATATATAAACATCCTGGAAGAAATCTACAGGGTTCAACTGCTACCATAGTGCTTCATAAAGACAGCAACAGAATACCAATCAAGAAGGGTTTAAGGCAGGGAAACACAATCTCCCCAATGCTATTTACTGCGTGCTTACAGGAGGTTTTCAAAAGCCTTGAATGGGAACAGTTAGGGTAAAAGTTAATGGAGAGTACCTTAGTAACCTGCGCTTCGCCGATGACATTGCATTTCTGAGTAACTGAGGGGAACGAATTGCAACTCATGATTATGGAGTCAGACAAGGAGAGCAGAAAGGTGGGTCTTAAAATTAATCTGCAGAAAACGAAAGTAATGTACAACAACCTTGGAAAAGAGCAGCGCTTCGATATAGGTAATAGTGCACTTCAAGCTGTAAAAGACTATTTCTACTTAGGGCAGGTAATAACCGCGGAGCCGAACCACGAGATTGAAGTAACTAGAAGAATAAGAATGGGGTGGAGCACATTTGGCAAGTACTCTCAAAATATGACAGGTAGATTGCCACTATCCCTCAAGAGAAAGGTATATAACAGCTGTATCTTGCCGGTACTTAGCTACGGAGCAGAAACCTGAAGACTTACAAAGAGGGTTCAGTTCAAATTGAGGATGACGCAGCGAGCAATGGAAAGAAAAATGGTAGGTGTAACTTTAAGAGACAAGAAGAGAGCAGAGTGGATTGGGGAACAGGGGTTAAGGATGTCATAGTTGAAATCAAGAAGAGGAAATGGACATGGGCCTGGCATGTAGCGCGTAGACAGGATAACCGCTGGTCATTAAGGGTAACTGACTGGATTCCCAGAGAAGGCGAGCGGGTTAGGTGAGCAGATGAGATTAAAAGTTTGCGGGTATAATTTGGCAGCAGCAAGCACAGGACTGGGTTAACTGGCCGAACATGGGAGAGGCCTCTGTCCTGCAGTGGACGTAGTCAGGCTGATGATGATGATAATGCGTCAAAGCTGAAAAAATATGTTCCTGAATCTAACGCAGTAAGATTAATTTGGATTGACTGAGTACTATCCAGCATGAAAATCATTTCAGCAAGAAGTACCATTCGTACTGTGTTTCACATTATCATGGCAGTGCATGATGCGTACAGTAAAACCTCGTTGATACGTACACATTTTAAGTGTAGTAATGATTAAAATGCAGTTGCGATTAACTCACTACTGAGTCACGTGGAACCGAATGTATTGGCTGACTGCTCAAGCCATAGTGCCTCGTCTTATGCCGGTCAGTTAGTGTGTTCTAGGATAATTTTTTGTTGCATTAAAGTTCAATGTGCCACCCCCCCCCCCCCCCCCCCCCGCCAACTCGCCCACCTCACAGCGGGTCGCAAATGGTCTTCCACTTTTTTCGTGACTGCAAAGACTAGCCGATGAACGATTCTGACTTCCACATGACTGTGGCGGTGCCCTTATAGTTCAGCGCAAGAAAAGGATGAAGGTGTAACAGCGACCACCGACGAAAATAGCCTGTATGACTTATCGCAAACAGTCGGGTTACACTAATCATCTGTCTGCTTTTGTAATCAAGCTGTCTGCTTTTCTGCTTATGTCGCATGGCGCCATTCTAAACGCATACTGCAAGCTTTCAATAGGGAACAACTCGAGTGGGCCACACCGCCACCACCTCATGTGGGAACGCTTCCAATTGTGTGGCTGGTGAAATTTCGCTACACTGACAATCATCGGCTGTCGCGTCAAACGCATGTACGCGTGGTAAACCAAGCATAGCAAAGATGTAAGCATATTGTGCAATTCTGTCGAGCAACAACGCAAATGCATTCCACGTGATGTTCGACGTGGCATTGCAGTTAATTTATTCTTGATGGCATTGCCATTCACCAGAAGATGCAAACTTGTACGGGTGGTTAGTGCATTTTAGCATTTGGTGTGTAGTTGTGCCACATTCACGGAAGCTACGTATTAACGAGGTTTCATTGTAGCACAACATGCCAGAGCACGTAGTTCCAGTTCCACTGCCATGTGCTTATTGGCAATTTAGTTCGAAACTGATGTTTGCACTTTAGCTTTGGACTTGTGTCGCGAAACCTCAACAGTAACCACGTCTTTGGTACTTCCAAGCAGTCTGAGAACTTGCTTCTCCATTTTTAGAGTCCAGTGGTGTCATGCAAATGTTGTACCATGGCATACACTGTTTCTGCTGTGCTTAGATGACCATAGTACCCACTGCATTAGAAGTCTGCCGTGGTATCTCAAGTAGCGATGGTGTTTCTCTACTAAACCGCAGGCTGTGGGTTCGATTGCAGCAGCACCAGTTGCACTTTGATGGGGGCAAAATGCAAGAACACCCGTGTGTTTGATAAGTGCACGTCCAAGGTGGTCGAAGGTAGTCCCTTCCACAGTGTGGCCCTTGCTGGCTGGAATGGTGGTATCAGCTTACAATGCCAGGAAGCTTAATTCATTAAAATATTCATATTGGGGTGAAGCTACAGCATTATATCTTAGTTGTTTCAGAAAGGCATCGGTCATCATGCAATGAAACTATGATGTCCCCAACTCTATTATTGTCATCATTTACTCTCGCACAGAGTATTTCCAAGGGTAGCGGTGGAGGGCTTGTGCGTGCTGGGAGCAGCGACGAAGAATGGCGAGGCCCAACGCCTGAGTGGGTGGCATCGTGGAAGCAGAAGCTGCCCCTGCAGACCATCATGCGTCTACTGCAAGTCCTGGTGCCCCAGGTCGAAAAGATCTGCATCGACAAGTCAGTGCTTTACTCTCTACTTACCTTCCTTCCTGCTTACATTACCTGACTACTCACCATCCTGCCTACATACCTACCTGATCACCTGTCTGCCTACTCACCCACCTTTGTGCCTGCCTGCCTACCTGTCTGCCTACCTGTCTGCCTACCTGTCTGCCTACCTACCTGGCTAATATGGTTCTCGCCTTAGTAATGAATACTGTGGGTAACTTGGCAAAAACCTGTCGCACTGGTCAAGTTGTTATAATGCTCAACTGCTGACCTGCATGTCACAGGATGCGATCCCGGGCACAGCGGCCACATTTTCAGTGAAGTCTGAAATGCTCGAGGCTTATGTACGTTGATTTCGGTGGATGTTAGAAAACCACAAATGATCGAAATTTCAGGAGCTCATCACTACGGCATCTCTCATAATCGTATCATGATTGTGGGACATTAAACCTCCCGCGAAAAAAAAAAAATAGTAATAGTACACTTAATAACAAATGTAGAGTGAAAAATATGGCAGGTTAAAACACGGCAAACGGGTGTGCGATTTATCGATGCAAGGCATACAAGCTTAGAGCCAACAGGGTTAAATTATTCAGTCACAGCAATAGGATACCTGCCAGTATTCATGGCAAAAAGCCTAAAAAGATGGATGGTGAAAGATTTCAAAGTATTGAATATAAACATATGAAATGTTCATTTGCATTGCCTTTGTGGGGCTTTATTAAAGACGATAGTCTTTCTAGGGAACCTTTGACGAAAAAAATTTGGGTCTGTCTGTATGTCTATACATTTGTCTGTTTGTCCGCCCTAACGATACCTCAAACGACCAACCTCATCCACAGCACCCACCAATATTGCTCAAGGTTTAGCGTTCATAGTTATGCGATTGTCAATTAAAAATGCAAATATTGCGCATATCTGAGGCGCCATAACAACATGTCTATGTTTTGTATGTCTGCCTTTATACTAAAAGAGGCACACACAAGTAACTCTAAGGACTGTAGCGTTTAACGCACTGTGCTGACAGTGCAACGCGATGCTCAAGAAGGTGTTTCCAACGCTTTGCTACGAGGGCACGGTGGTGGCCGACGTAGCAAAGCGACCTGCCCGTCGCTTTGCATTCTACACTTTATCACCTCCGAGACTGGCGTACACCTTTCTCCGTGGTCGCGCACGCCTTCGTTTTCAAAGGTAACTGCGAGATGGCGCTTGTGTCTAACGTGCTTAGATGCACTTGTTCGCCTCCGTTACATGCTCGAGGCACTCTAACGCAGCGCCTTCAGAATACCATTCACCGATTTTCTTGCGCAGAACATCAAATAAATGTTTTGTTCACTCTTTCCAGATGCAAGGCTATCGTCTTTCGGCGACATTTACAGTGTAACATGTAGATTCGGGCCATTTTTTTTATGTTTTTATGGCAGAGCTCTAAAATCTATACAAATTATTATAAGAGCCATACAAATTATCAGGCAAGTATGACAAATTGGTCATAGGCTGCTTTTAGTCCCCTCTGTCATTTATAATCAGCTAATGGCTGCACTGTACCTTCTAGTTTTATTGTCTCAGGCTGTTCAGAATTTCCCAAAATAGATCAAACTTAAAACACTGATGGAAGACACCGCCTTGGAGGAGCCCAATACAGCATCAAATGATAATTAATATAGACATGCTGTAGAATAAGTCTACCGTTTCAAGCCTGCGCTAGTGATAACCACACTCTTTCTCCTCTGTCCACTCTGCATTCACACACGGACGGCTCAGCCAATACCGTAGAATTTTTGACATCATTATCAGCCTGGCTTATGTCCCCTGCAGGACAAAGGCATTTTTTAATGATCTGTAGCTTTATTTTATGCCACTGAATTTCCTACTTTCATCACTACTCTTAGCCCTTGGCCTTCCCCATCTACACTTCCCATTTCGTGGTATCCATTCCCATGTTCTAATTTTGTATGTTTTTGTCTGTCCTTCTCATAACATTACCTTTTCATTTTCTCTTTTAACTGATGAGACCATGTTGGGCCCTTGGCCAGACACCAACAGTGCAACTGCGGTCACAAGAGCAGTTATAACCTTTTTAGAAACAACTGGACTATGTGCGCGGCTATGAAATGTGTCTCAGCTAGAAAGAACACTACATACTCACCTCTCTATCTCACCATCGTCATCAATTAATCTTTCTTTTCCGCTTTCCCTTCCCCCAGTGTAGAGTAGCAGGCTAGAGCAAGCTATCGCTCAGGCCGACCTCTCTGCCTTTCTGTAAATAAACTTACCTCCTATACTTTCTCTTTTTTACATCAATTAGAGTATCAGTTACTGGAGACCTGATTGGACATGTCATAGTGCTTCTTATTTTTATACGCCTGCTTTTCTTTCAAAGTGATTGGTTCCAGCACGTTACGAGAGCACAGGAAGGAAAACGCACAGGACAAGACTGGTCACTTTGTCATCATGTACTCACGACATACTCATCACTTTGGCATCATGTACCAACTGGCCCAGAAAAGCACACTGTTAAACTGCCTTTTGTCTTTATTTCATGTCTTTCTTCTGGTGCAGAGTAGCAAACCAGGAGTTTCAGTTGCAGCTGACCTCCCTGCATTTCCCTCACTGTTACTTCTATATGTGCTGTGCTGTGCAGAGGTCTGACGGATGAGAGCGAGATCCTCAAGTTCCTGCAGCATGGAACACTTGTCGGACTCCTGCCTGTGCCGCATCCAATACTGATACGCAAGTACCAGTCCAACGCAGGCACCACAATGTGGTTCCGTACCTACATGTGGGGACTCATCTACCTTAGGTGCACTGTCATGTTCTTTATGATCTCATCACCTTTCTAATGCAGTAGACTCGTGATAATTCAAACTCTGATAATTCGTACTTTCAGTTATTTCAAACAAAATTCAATTTTTTTGGTCGGCCCTCTATTCTACCAACATATTTGAAAGCCTCTTAATTCAAACTCCATCATTCGGTTAATTGATACCTTTTGCGAGCCCGTACCAGGAAATAACAGCTCAGTGATCGCACTCCTGTGCAAACTGCACCAAAGTGCGCCAAATCAGATTTACTGCGCCATCCTGATAATATCAACAAAAATTGTGCCAAAGTCGGATTTGGGAGCGTCTATCAACGGCAATAGCCACTCTGGCGCATCAAAACACATGCATCTTGTTCTCAAGGCCACCAAAGTCACAATTGCGTGCCTAAAGTTATTGCGCTGAATTAACAGTGATCGCGCGTGCATCCTAAGTTATCCCCGATGTTTAGTGCCGACGCAAATTTTGTTGTGCAAGTACGCGCTATTTCGAGGCCTAATGAGACATGCTCATAAACTTTCCGAGCTACTATAACATATGCTTCGAGTTGATAGTGCGAAAACCGCTTCGGCAATGGGAGTATCATTGTCCCTTTAGCCAGCGTTCATCTGAGTTATGCAATGTCGTGTCCAAGAGATACTACTTCTTAGTTTCATTTAGGCTCTTAGCAATGAATGCAATCGATACCAACAGTCTGTTTGCATTAAGAGTACAAGATATAAGCGCATAACAGCCGTCTTTAATGCCTGCCGAATTAGCATGAGTGCCAGTAATCACACCCAAAGTTCATAACAATGCCCCCCCCCCCCCCCCTCGCCTATCGTTCCTAGTTCCTTCCTGCTTTCTGAAGCTGCTTTCCCACTACTGTATAGAAATTTGTGTGCTTATATAATCCTGGCAGTCTAAAAATTAAAAATAAGCACCTGAGCTCTTCAAGGAAAATGGCTTTGCAAGTAGACAAATGTTTAAAACAAAGCACACACATGGTAAACCTTGATGCTCCTCAACTGGCATAGAAGGCTTTGTGCTGAACGTGTATACCTACAGCGATGAAAGTGTTGGCAATTCACGATTTCTTTAAAAGGTCTCATCAGCAGTAAATCAGCAGTAAATGGCCAATAAACTTGTGGACTTTACACCTCTGCTCTTTGTTCATTGTGTGCAGTTAGGGCTTAAAAACACTAAAAAAATTTTAATTGTGATAAAATCAATGCCTAATCATAATGTGTGGTGTCATCTCACCCAGAGTCATCTATCTGAGAACTTCTGAATCTGAGATAATTCAAACTTCCTGATAATTCAAACAAAGTTCAGAGGCTCTTTCAAGTGTGAATTAACAAGAGTCGACTGTACACTAAAGCCTTTTTGATACACCTCTGCTTAAGCCATGAAAACAGCTAAAACATTAGCGTGACTAATCTTTGACCCAGTTCCTATAGAGCTGCTGTTCCTTTCCGTACTCTTCAAACTCTGTCACTCAAACACCTATATTTATTTATTTATTCAATACTGCAGACTCAAGGTCCAAGCAGGATGGTAATACATATACAAGTATAAATAAAGTAATTGTGAAACAAAATAATAAAGGGCAAAGAAGGTTGTCAGGCAGGGTAATTCATTCATCACATGTATTAGTAAGACAGTTCTATTCACATATGGTTCTTGGAAAGTATGAATACTTCGGTAGATCTGTGCGAGCAAAATATGGGATCAAGGCCTTTGGGTTGTGGTGTCGGGTGGGCCGGCTACTAAGGGGTGTCAAGTACGGGGATGGGTCTAGAGCTAGTTTTTTGTTCAAAAGTTGATCAAGGAATTCTAATCTAAATTTTGTCTTTGCGTCTGCAGTAAGGGAATGTTGTTGGCTAGCATTAAATCTAAGGGGGAGTCTTACTTGGAGTACTTGTTGAATATAAATCTAACAGCTTTACTTTGAATACGCTCAAGATTGTATATATTACGTAAATAATATATAAGTGCTCATAGTTTTTCTCTACTCAGTATGAATATGAATAATAATAAAGGTGGAAAAAATGGAGCGTATTAGTAGACTCATCGAAGAGCCATGCTGCTGTCTTCACACTCTTTCAGTATACTGCCTGAGTTGCCAGTATTTGTGAACGCATCTACTGCAGCTAAATAACATTAAACTTTGTTTACGCTTTGCTAAGTTGTTTGGTTTAGTGTCACAAGAGCACAAACATATGCTGTACCAGCAACCTGGTGTAAACTTCGCTTAAATTTATGTGAGGGTGTGAATCGATCGTCTTCTGTGTGCAGAAAGTATTGCTCTCTCTTCTTCTTTTTTTCTTGTTTTTTTTTCTTTTTTTAGAAAACTTGTGCATGTGTCATGAGCGACAGTCAATGGCACTGTGCAACCTGTCATCATAGGGAACATGAAGTTTGTATACTTTGTTGCGCCGGTGCTCGAACCAGTATAGTGCTGCAAATTGGCTCACAAACCCTTTGAAATGTTATTTCATCATACTACAAATGATTCAGAATGAAATTGGAGTGCATTAAACAAAAATCAAACCAGCATTTATTTCAATTCAACAACCTGCTGGAGGTGTTTTGTTAATAGAACAGTGGCCCCTTCGTCACAGTAAAACTGTGACAAAGGGGCCACTGCAGTGGACGAAGTATCCTTTGTGTGCCCTGTAACAGTAATTTGTCTGGTGAAAGCACAAGACGTAAATACCATCCCCATCATGAGAGAATGGCGCATTCTCACTGTTGACCATGTCTCATAGGGCTAAGTACGCGTTATACAAGTGCACGCATCGCAATGAGCGTGGCGCCAACTTCTAAAGCACCCCCTTCGTATCATCACACTGTTAATGCAGAGAAAATGCTGAAAAGCTCCGTGGATTGGCTTACCATCTTCAATAAATAGTGTATATAAATAGCTAGCCGTCAGTACACTGAAGGACATGTGCTTTCATGGTCAAATCGTCTAACACAGCGCGCTGCAAAGTGAGAAGGCACCTGTTCAAATTTGCGCTACGGAAAATATTTTTTACAAATTATTCTTTTTGTCACTTTTATATACATTTACATACAGTTAAAACGAGCGGGGAGTGTTCATATAAGTGCTATCGCTGTAAACGTTCAGACCATAATACTCTGAGAAGGCGGATGACCAGCAGAGTTGACGGGTGTACCTCTGTCTCTTGCCATCCTTCATACCATACCAGCTGGTTCTGATCACCTTAATGCGTTAGTTCTTCCTCTGCTCCCTAGAAGGCACTGAGGATTTCACCAATTCACTGCTTCAAATACACATATGATGCATTGAAGTGGTAAAGCCCCTAACACCCTCCAGGAAGGAATAATACATTGAAGTTAGTTTTTCCACTGCTTCTTAGAGGGAACTAGGAGTTCTCGCTCATGGATGGAGATGCAAAGAAATCATGGAGGTGTAACATATGCAGCTCAGCTGTAATAAGCTTGCTGTGCCTCATTATGTCAGAACTGAGTGATGGGCTTCTTGTTTCATCTTTTCCAGGAATGTGGACCCCCCCATCTGGTACGACACAGAAGTACGGCTGTTCGAGATTCAGCGACTCTAGTCATGTCAGTGCTTGGCCTCATCGACAGCCTCAAGACTGATAGGGAATCAGAGAATCTGTGCTAGCATAGCGCGTAAAACAGTGGTCCACGTGTTCAACATTAGTGACCGTAGGACACTCGACAGGCTGACCAATGATGGATGGTGTTCCTACAAGTGACGATTTCTTCGGATGCAGTGTCGCTTGGCGAGCTGGAAAATTTTCATGCCCGCATCGTCTGGTTTCAGCACTGTCGAATGCAGATGATGCTGTGTTCCGGACTCCTGTTTTGCATGACCTGCATTTTTCATAAGCGGAACAGTGTGTTCTACTCATGCGCTTCCGGTTTTGAAGCTGTTAAATGCGGCTTGTCTATGTTCCTGCCAAGCTGCTCGATGCACACGCGTTGGTGCGACTGCATATGCTGTGAGAGTCATCAAACAGGCAGCATTAAGGATTAGTCAATGCAACGACTTTTTCGCGTCGTTTGTTAGGAGTACCAATCGGTCTACTTCTTTCAGTAAGCTTCGCTGTACCGGGTAGACAGCATCTAGGGTGAACACCTCATCCGTATTCGAACTGGTAAAACTAGGAACGTTTGTTGTACTTCGCTAGCGGAATGCCTGTTGTGAGATGTCAAATATTGGTTTCGACTAAAACGATACTAGTTTTCATATTCATGTAATGAGCACCACTTTCTATGAGGCCTTGAATACTAAAGAGGCGTTCACCTCGAATGTGTATGGCCCTGTACAGCACTGGCAGGAGCAGCAAGGACAGGCTTGACAGATGATGTAACAGGTTCCAGCAATCTTGGTGATGAGAAAGCTTAAAATTTTTGCGCATTTGCTGAGATCATAAATGCAATCTCACCAAACATCGGCTTGTTAGGTGGTGGCACTTAAGTTTCGCTGTTGTTCTTATTAGGCTGAGCTGTGGGGAGTTTTGATTTTCGTTTCTAAAATTGGTGTGGTGGTGCTGTGCTTCTTCAAAAGATGGCGCTGTAAAACTTCTGTGTTTACATGCCTCACAATCTATGGACACTGCAAGAATAACGGCAACCTCAACTGCTGGCGGCAAAACACTTGCAGTGACATTGTGAGGTCAATACGGTAGACACCGCTGAACAAATGCATGTCGAGCTATAAATGAAGATGTGGAGATTAACATGGCTGTTTTCTTCGTCTGCTCTAGATCACCAATTTCACTACTATATGAACGAGCTACTAACAGAAGTTCCAGTCGTTAGTGTGGGTCGACATTCCATGTATGAAATGGACTGTATCAAATCTAATTTAACGTGTGAATGGCAAGGTATGTCTGCAGAACTCATGTGAATATAAATGAATGAATAAAGATTTACCAAGGCATTAATTGTTCATTCACCAGCAGGGTGTACAAGAAAAGGAATGCATGGCACTTTACACTGTGGAGCATGCATTACTCTGTGGCCAAATTGTTTGGGGCCCCTCCGCATTGTTTACATAATTGCATTTTGTATTTATATATATGAAGGCACAGAGACCTGCACAAACATGCCTCAAGAGATCAAATTTTGTCCACAAAGATGAGAGATCAATTTTTAATCTCATCTTTCCAACCTCAATGCTCGATCATGTGACGTCCCCACCTCCCCTTTGGAATGTGAAAACATGTGCTTCAGGCTCATCATACTTACATTATAATATTGTTACGTACAATCCAAATGGTGTACGAATAACTGTTTATTGGGGCGAACTTGTGCCCGAAAAGTAGCGGCGACTGTAACAGGCGATCAGCAAAAAGGGATCAATCTCCGAGAGAGAAAAACCCTCGAGTGGTGGTCCACTTCTTCTTCATCAAAATCCCGTGCTGAGGAAGCGCGCGCCGTCACGGCCTTTTCTTGTTTGATCATAAAGCCGCTGATCTCTTGGGGGGGGCGCATGAACTAGCGCGCGTAGTTTGAATACTGCGTTCACCTTGCATCATTATCCCTCCTCCGAAAACGCATCGTCCCGATGCGTAAAAGCAGTACTGCTGAGATGGTCTGAATGCGTGATTTCCAATGGAGAAATAGGTATTCCTCATAACCGGGTGTGTATAATTCGATGTTCATTGCCTGTCATAGTATGGCTTCATTCTGACTACATGCACGATTTCTGTGCTCCTTCGGCATCTTGATGAGCTCACTTGTCCTTCCGGTGACACCTCGTAGTTCAAGGAGCTGACGCGACGAAGGACTCGGTAAGGGCCGAAATAGCGGCGCATGAGCTTTTCGGAAAGGCCAGGCGTCCGCACAGGAGTCCAAATCCAAACTAGGTCGCCTGGTGCGTAGTCGACTCCTCTCCGACGAAGGTTGTAACGGTTTGCATCCACACGTTGTCGTTGTTTTATGCGATGTCGCGCCAACTGCCGTGCTTCTTCGGCTCGCTCAATGAATTCGTTGGTGTCAGGCTTGTGCTCTGTATTGTCGCCTACAGGCAGCATTGCATCTAATGGTGTGGTAACTACTCGACCATAGACTAGCTGGAATGGCGTCACTTTAGTAGTCTCCTGCACAGCAGTATTGTAAGCGAAAGTGGCATACGGCAGTATCTTGTCCCACGCACGGTGCTCCAAGTCAACGTAAATGGACAACATATCGGTTAGAGTTCTGTTGAGTCGCTCGGTTAGCCCATTAGTTTGGGGGTGGTAAGCCGTTGTTTTCCTATGACTTGTGTGGTAAGTTTCATAATGGACTGCGTCAGATTGGCTGTGAATGCAGTTCCTCGATCCGTGATAACCACCTTTGGGGCACCATGCCGTAGTACAATGTTAGTGACGAAAAATTCAGCTACTTCTATAGCCGTGCCCCTGGTGAGAGAGGCTGTCTCGGCATACCGGGTTAAGTAGTCTGTCGCCACTACTATCCATCGGTTGCCCATTGATGACGTGGGAAATGGACCAAGTAGATCCATTCCTACTTGTTCGAACGGAGACTCAGGTGGTTCAATTGGTTGGAGAAATCCTGCAGGTTTCAATGGAGGCGTTTTGCGTCTCTGGCAATCTCTGCATGTCCTTACATAATGCTGTACAGCATCCAGTAACTTTGGCCAGTAGTATTTTGTGCGGATGCGAGCCAATGTTCTACTCACTCCGAGGTGTCCTGCTGCTGGGTCATCGTGGCAGGCTTCCAGGATTTCGGGTCGCAAGGCCGAAGGAACGACGAGTAGGAATTTCTCCTTGCTGTGCTCGAAGTTTCTTTTGTATAAAACGTTGTTTCTCATGAGGTACGAGGACAATCCCCGGACGAAAACTCGAGGAACACGCACGGGTTGCCCTTCCAGATGCTTGATCAGTTTAAGCAACTCCGCGTCAGATCGCTGATATTCAGTCATATCTGCGGTGCTCACGGCCCCAAGAAACGGAAAGTCGTCTCCATCTTCACCAGGTGCAGATTCCATTGGTGCGCGTGATAGGCAATCAGCATCGCTGTGCTTGCGACCCGACTTGTATACGACTGTTATGTCATATTCTTGCAACCTGAGGCTCCATCTAGCAAGTCGCCCAGAAGGGTCCTTTAGGCCTGCGAGCCAGCACAACGAGTGATGGTCACTCACTGCTCGAAATGGTCTACCATATAAGTACGGTCGGAATTTCTGTATGGCCCATATTACCGCCAGACATTCTTTTTCCGTCGCCGAATAATTTATTTCAGCTCTCGAAAGAGTGCGACTAGCATATGCGACCACTCTTTCCTCTCCGTTTTGCAGCTGCACAAGGACGGCGCCTAGTCCCAAATTGCTTGCGTCCGTGTGAATCTCTGTTTCGGCTTCTTCGTGGAAATGTGCCAGGACAGGGTGGTGTAGGAGTCGCTGTCGTAGCTCATTGAACGCCTCTTCTTGCTCGCTTGTCCAGGTGAAAGGCATGTCTTCTTTCGTCAGTCGGGTTAGTGGCTCCGCAATCTTCGAAAAATCTTTAACGAATCTTCTGTAATAGGCACAAAGTCCTAAGAATCGTCTCACAGCCCTTTTATCTGTTGGTCTAGGAAACTTTTCTACAGCTGCTGTCTTTTTGGGGTCAGGTCGAATGCCTTCAGAGCTAACCACATGACCGAGGAAAAGCAGTTCATGAAAACCAAAATGGCACTTTTGGGGTTTTATCGTCAGCCCTGCTGAACTAATCGCTTCGAGCACAGTTCGTAGTCGTTCCACATGCTGATCGAAGGTGGCCGAAAAGATCACGACGTCATCGAGATAAACAAGGCAGGACTGCCATTTTAACCCGGACAGCACAGTATCCATCATCCGCTGAAATGTGGTGGGTGCGGAACACAGGCCAAATGGGAGTACCTTGAACTCGTATAACCCATCTGGGGTCACGAAAGCAGTTTTCTCGCGATCTCGTTCGTCCACCTCTATCTGCCAGTATCCGCTCTTGAGGTCTAGAGAGGAAAAGAATTTTGCGTCTCGTAGTCTGTCAAGCGTGTCATCGATCCTTGGAAGGGGATAGACATCCCGCTTTGTGACGACGTTCAATTTTCGGTAGTCAACGCAGAAGCGCAAGGTCTGGTCCTTTTTCTTTACCAGTACTACAGGTGAGGCCCATGGGCTGGCCGACGGTTGAATTACGTCGTCCCTGAGCATTTCTTCAACTTGGCCTCTGATGACTTCTCTCTCTTTTGGTGACACTCGGTACGGGTGCTGGCAAATAGGTCTAACAGATTGATCGACTATGATGCGGTGTTTGATGATAGATGTTCTTTGCACTTTCGATGACGTGGACAAACATGAGGCGTACTCCCGTATAAGGCTCTCGATTTTTTTGTTTCTGGTTCGGTGATAGGGCTGCTTCGATGTGGATAGATGCGAGTATGGAATCTATACCGTCAGGGTGCAGTGGTGCAGTCTCGGAAGAATTCAAATCCGTAATCGGAACGTAATCATGCAAGTGACCAACCACAGTTCCCTTCGCAAGGTGCTGCACCTAATTTCGGAAATTTGTCAGGAAGACACTCGTACACCCATCACGCAGTCGTACAATACCTCTTGCTGCACAGATCCCTTTCTCGAGTAATAGCCCAGTATTGCTTTCTGCCATTCCTTCATAGTCGTTGTACACATTGCTTTTTACGGTGACAACGATGATGGATCTTGCAGGTACTGTTACATCATCACCTGCAATCTGGAGCGCATCGAATCGTTTTTCACTCTCGAAAGTCGCGATGGCGTGTTTCGTTGAGAACGAGACGCACGTTTCCTGCAAGTTTATCACTGCGCCATTGGCCTGCAAAAAGTTCATTCCGATAATTACATCTCTTGAACACTCCGACAGGACAATGAAGCTGGCGACGTAGGTGAAGCCGCGTATCCCAACTCTAGAGGTACACATGCCTGCCGGATCGATAAGGTGTCCCCCGGCGGTTCGCACTTGTGGTCCTATCCAAGGGGTCAGCACTTTTTTCAGCGTTCTGGCAAGTCCCCTGCTCATGACGGAATAGTCTGCGCCTGTGTCTACTAAAGCATTTGTTTCGTAGCCGTCTATAATTACCGACAAATCAGAAGCGACGTTACCATTTCCGCACGTAGTCTCGTGTCCGTCATCACATTTTGAAATCGGCACTGGAGGTTGTTTTCTTGCGTCGGCAGCGGCCTTACCTCCCCAGGTCGCCGATTCTAGTTTTCCCGAAGCGGGCTTTGGGGAAGTCGCCTCGGAGAGTTTGAAGATGGGCGCGGACTTGGTGACCGATACCTCAGTGGCGCTGTCGACCGAGACTGATGCTGCTGCGAGGAGTGAGCCCCTTGACGCGTTGACAAGTACTCCTCGATTTCAAAAGGTCGCTCCCCATTCTGTGGACAGGCAGCGTTTACGGGAAAACCCCGAAGTCCAGCTCGGCGATATGCACACATCCGGTAAAGATGGCCAGCTTCGCCGCAGTGATAACAAAGCGGAATTCGATCAGGAGTGCGCCATATATCAGCTTTCCGGATCCTAGTCTCGGCTGGGGACGGCGTAAATCGAGGTTTCGGCAGATGCGTGCTTGCTGCGGCGAAATAAGGTCCAGGGGCGGCGAAAGGAGGTCCAGGGGCGACGAAATGAGGTACAGGGGTGTTTCTCAGTACCTCGGCGTACGA